AAGCTAGCAAATTGATGGGGAGCCGCGAGAGAATATCGTGACACTGGAGTTTTATCAGTAATGAAAATACCATGGAAATGAAGGTGTATATGTGTACGAAAATAATAGTTAGGTCTGGAATATTCTAAATTGTGTTCATGATAATTTAAATCAAGAAACAACTCTTTGAAAACTTTCACATTAGAGTGATTTATTAAACACTAGTGATAAGATACTCATAATGAGTTAAACTATAAACAAATACTTTGTTTTTATTGACAATCTATACGTAAGTGTAATTTATTGGACATATATATTACCCCGACTTCGTCTGATTTAACGTACATAGCTATCTATGTACGTTAAATATATAGATAAGAATTTTATTTGTATCTTCTTATACACATATAAGCTTTATTACAAATAGTCTACAATAAACCTGCATGCATTTCATTACCTTCCACATTATTGGTACTCATCATAATTTGAATCGAATATTACGGTAACCGGTTACCATGACATGGGCACTAATGGGCAGTATTCTTGATTACTACCACTATGGTATATAAAAAATATTATAAGAATATTCTGGTCAATTCTAGTGACAATTTTGACAAAGTAACTAAAAAGTAACCTATAATTTTCGTAGACCGCCGACTCGTATTTACCCGACAAAGCAAACACATCCATGTTGCACGTCGCTACCCATAACAACCGTAATGATGTTTGCCGACTCTCCCCCGAGATACGCCGTCGCGTTTTACGGGAATTAAAAACGCAACCCCCGCCTCCTTTTTATTAACCATAGATAGACAATATCATATTTTTTTAAATAGATTAACTTGTGAAGACGAGGGAAAGCAGATTAAAACTTTATAACTCCCTCGTGACTATATTTGGCAGATGAAATATTTAATGGGAGATTTTATTAATAGGGTGTTTATGATGTGATCCAGTGAAGATAAGGAAATATGCTAATTAAATTCCTGTTTTTACTATATTGTGTTTGTTAATTATAATAAAAATTAAAATTTAATTAAAAAAATCCGTAATAAACGGAAGACTGTAAGAACCATCTCTCTCGTATCACTTTCTACAAGAAAACCCATCATAATCGGCGATTCGTTTAAGAGTTACAATACCACCGACAGATACACTAATATACTGACATATCAAATTTATAACACCTCTCTTTTTGCGTTGAGGTTAATAAGGCTTATATCAATGTTGAGTAGAATAGTATAATCTTTACATAGTATGAAACAAAGTCGGCGCGCGCTGTCTGTTCGCTTATATCTTTTCAATTAATTATCGGATTTTACTGCAGTTTTCAGCATAGATAGAGTGATTCAAGAGGAAGTTTTATATGTATAACACATGCGTGTTTTAGAAGAGTATGTTTAGATATGACGACCGATAGAGAGCAGTGGAAGGGAATGACATACTACGCTGACCCCAAATAATGAGATAAAGGTAAGGAAATGATGATGATGATGCGTGTTATAGTATAGAACAAGCATCAAATTCAAAGATTTGTAATGCAAAACCGGGAAAGAGAACGCTAGTAGTATGTAAATTAGTTTTATTTTTAGTATGCTAGTTATAAGTAAGTTAATTATATCTTGTAGGCATACAAAGTATCTACTATAAATATTTACAGCATATATTTATAAATGGGCGTATTAATGGAGCAATTATCACTATTAATTATCATCATAGGGCTATATGCGATATCATTAAGGATTTATGTAATTACACACTTTACTATTTTATTTGGTTATTTATTACTTACATTTACGATTAAATACTTACTTCAATACAATGTTCTTGTTATAAATACATAATTGAGCAATTCGAGGTAGATTGAATCAATCCAATATGTCTGAAAGGGAGGGAATTTACTAATTTACTCTATCAGGTCATCCTCACTAGCCCCCCTTACACTGTTAACCAAACCAAACCATCATAGTTAACTTCTGGTGAATTTAACACTGGATGGCTGATCTAACTTCATCCTCATGCTATCATCCGCTGGTGATCCAACAGTGTATACCGTTAGCGCAATCGGGAGCATCATTTTATATTGATCCATTAAAAATAACCATACGTCATTTTGTAATAGTCAAGAAAAGAAATAAAGAAAACAAAGTTTGAAAATGGGTTTTCTTGAGACTGGTAAGAACGGGGTATATTTAAGGCGTCCATAATTTTCTAACTGTCTACGATCAGATGGGCCGTATGCTTGTTGGCTACTATCGTAATATTAAAAAACAAACGACAATCTGCTAGAAAGAGACATTTATACTTCCTGATCACACCACCTGGCAATCAGCGGCACAACATGCGTTAAATATTCGATAAAATAATCGAATGAAATAAAAAATGATCTGTCAAAAGAGCAGCTTTCCCGCCAATTTGACGGCAGGTCGAGCCCTCGCAACTGCGTAGGGTTACCACTTCATGATCACGTTGTATTACAATATAGTTTTTACTATAAAGAGACATGACGTTCATAGAAATTTAGGACGTTAATATTTATATAAATTGCGTACGTTATATAAAGTATAGGTAAGTATTCTTACTATAAGTACAAATAATAGTAAGCTGTCTGAATTTTCTCTGTAAATCTCTGAAAATTCTCTGTAAATAATAATCAAGAAAATCTGTATATTAGTTTAGCGTGACAATACACACTGTATAGTTAAATTCTATGTTCTGTTGACACCTTTAAGATAAATCATAGTTTTGGTTAACTGCAATAAATATTATAGTCTATTTGTGATATAAAAAGCAATATTTAATTTTTAGTAAAAACTATTTTAAAAGTAATGTGTGTAGGAAGAAACATATGTATTTACATATATTAATATGTATGTATATACATATACTTCGACCTACATACCTGTATACGTTTATGAGTTTTCACCAAATAAATAAATAAAACATAGGTTTTCGTGTTTTCTATGTATATTATGCATGTATTAAAATATACGTACGTATGTTTAAGAATGTCTATCAGTTGTCTAGAACCCTTTTAATTAAATCTCTGCTTATTTTGGTACTAAATGGCGCTGTTGGATTTGTCATGGGTTATTATTATTATTCATTTTAATATCAGTCGAATCTATATACACATATATATACCTATTTTAGCATGTTTTCCGCTCGGTAAGTAAGGTTATCCAGTATATATTAAACTCTACGATTTTTTTAATGTTACTCATATTTGATAGTATTGTAAGTTTCTATTAGTAACTAAGGAAATTTAACACAAAATTGTAATGATTAAGTCATTTTGAATGGATGAATAATAGATACAGTTATGAGTATGATATTATGAATGAACGAGTTAGTCAGTAGCTTCGAACGGACCTCGATTACTTTACGATAATGTTGCAGAAAATATTTCAATACTCAATCTTTATTGCATTTCATAATATTACAATGAAAGATGTTCATAATTCGTTTTAGATCATTATGGTCCCTGTTAGGGCACGCAAACATAACATTAATATTATTATAACTAACTATTACATGTAATTTAATCATACATTTATCTATTATAATATGAAATTAATTAAATCTTACATAACTAAAATATATTATTTAAATATTCGCTTACATTATAATATTGTAATTCATACATGATTTACCTAAATGTCGTTACCATTTGCTACAAACTTTTTGGTCTATACTCTACAAAGTAAAGATCAAAAGTAACAATGTTTTTTATGTAACCTTACTTATGGAAATGAGGGAATTAGAAGAAAATTAATGTCAAAAATTTCCTCATAATGTATATTTTTTCTTATTAAAATATATTTCAGTTGTATACACACATATATTATAAGGTAATAAACTAAAACTATATTAAAAAAAAAATACTGGTTTTCACTTATATATTACGACATACTTTCCGTAAGAATCGGTTCACTAATAAAAATTTTTACTTCACCTATATTATCATTCAAAATCGCAGGCACCGATAGTCTTTCCTAATTCTTCTGTGACGTGTCCGTAGTTTATTTAGGTACATATCAAGAAAAGTTTCTGAAAAAATAATATAAAATCATATAGCATTATTGTTAAAAAAAAAACATAAAATAGCAAACTGATTCACATTTGAACATCATTAAATCAAAATCAGTCGTCATTACTCAAAAGTTTGTCCACCCTCCAATTTCGACACGCCCTAACATTGAGATTAATAGGGCTCCATGTTTAGACTACGGTCGTCATGGTACCGAGGGTGGGATTGACAATCTGCCCACGACTCTGTGGGGCCGTATAAATACCACATCTCGGGGGGACGGTATACGCTATCTGGCAACACTCGTTTTAATGAGTCATAGTGAAAAGATGTTGGCCGGAAAGGTCATAGGTTAATTAGTTTTTTATTGTATTACTTTTTTAGTACGATAATCAAATTTTATTTTATAAAAATAAATAGATATTATGGGATCATAAATGACTTTTAAAGAATGAAATAATTTTTCTATTTACTATAAACTCGGAATGTTTACTTAATAAATATATTAATATGTGAAAAAAAAGGTTTGGTCCCTTTATTCGAATATTACTCGGACAGAAGGAATTAAATTTAGCGCAATTAAATTTTATATAAATAAGCAGTACAGAACGCTAATATTTATTATAATAATTCTTAAAATTATAAATAAATAAACATTACACAAAATTATATTATTACAAGATAATTGGAATATAAAATTTAAATAAAATAGAGTCTAATTTCGACCATTAAGTACCTACGTACATATGTTAATAGTAAACACTTAGAGAGAACATTCATATGATATTTAGCTTAATTCTGTAGACGTCATTAACAATAAATCAACTTTTTGAATACGATATTGTAGGTTAATTCCTATCTTTATAATATAAAAAATAGATAATACCTTTTCTAATAAAAATAAACGTATTAAACCTCCATTGATACTTTTTTACCAACTTAAAAATCTTATGTTTGTCTCTGATTGCAAGTTACTGTCAAAAAAGAAAATATTTCATTATTGACTGATCCTTTACAAAATTTACCGTGTTTAATTATCACATTATACATTCCAACCATTTGTTATTAAAATTATCTAATTTATAAACAAAATGTCCGACAAGGTTTTAGGAAAAAAAATCAATGTGCCTGTACAAATGACGGATTTATCAATATTCGACGATACATTTTCCACTATGAAAGAAAGGTTTGCAGCAGAAATGAAACGTCTTGATGAAGAGATGACTAAGTTTAGGTAATTTTATTGTGAGAAAAATACTTGTGTACTTTTATTGTGAGGTCAGAGTCCGAGATAGACTTCGAACAAAGCCATTATTGCATAGCTTGGATTGTAAGATGTGTTTAAATTGAAGCGCGAGGTATGACCTCTAAACTAAGGAGGCATGGCATCATCGTACTCTAAAAGAAAGAGTAACGCATAAGTGGTATCACTGACGTCACATGATAACGTGATGTCCGTGGTGATGTTCATGTATGTAGGCGTTACATACAGTTACCATCATGATGGACCTCTACTTGTATGCTATTTCAGTTACAGAAAAAATAACAAAAACTGATAATCAAATCTGCCGTTTTTATATCAAGTCAGATTTGATAATAGGTTAGTAATAGAGAAAACCTAAAAAGTTTTTTATAATGAATTGTATTACAATCTTATTAGTTCGGATCTCATGCGTGTCTATGGACAAGCATCCACTGTACAAACCGGACTAATGAATTCGCAAAAAGATACCCCTCAAACCAGCTGGGATACCATCACTAATTCGCCCCTAGTGGAAGGAGAAGGAGACGATAGATCCCTGAAGCTTCAATTTGATGTCAGCCAATTTGATCCTGATGAGGTTCGATAATTTCCCATTCGTATGAAATATGAGATGTTACATGTAGGTATACTAATATTGATTGTAGGGCATAATCTCCGTATCTAAACCTATTTAGAAAATTCTTCTGGTGTTAAGTAGCCCATTTTTCGATGAGTGTTATAGGCTATATAACATCACGCTACGACAAATAAATGTGATTGCTATCCCGAGGACTTACAATAGATAGTAGAATTGATTAAGTCAAGGGCCTATTAGGTTATTTGTAACAATTCCAATGGTGTTGGATTTACAGCTACACCGGAAACATCTCTATACAGTACCTATATAGTCATATGTAGGTATACTCGCGGGTTCGAGATTTATATTTATCTAGATATATCTTCAATATTTAAAGTTTATATTTAATATCATATAGATATTTTTATGTAAATGGATAATTACAACTGTCGACCGCTGTATGTATGATGTACTGACATCTATGTAAGTATGATGTACGTGAGAAGCACCACGGATGTCACGCTGCAATATGACGTTCATGTAACGCCCTTTTATGTTTGTCTATGTTTACTATAATTTTCCTGCACCTTTGCAACCGGAACACAATCTGTATTTATCTATTGCTAGTTGTGCCCGTGGTTTTGTGGTTTAAAATTATTGTGTTATTCTGATGAATAAGTATTATTACTAAAGTTTCACAGAAATCCGTTCAATAGTTTAGCTCAAATAAATAAATAACAAATAGTAAATTGTCAGGATATCGCGTGCGCGTTGCCAAACCTTAGGAAACCCAATATACACTTGAAAAACCCCATGATGTAGTCTCTTGAGAAAATCTCGGCAGGTTCATTCCACAATCTAAGTGCCTGCGTGTTAATGCTGTAATTTAGATATGAGAACATTCTAGATTTTCTTGTTTACAAACAGGTGAAAGTAAAGATTCTGAATGATACCCTTGTAGTATCAGCTACACATGAAGAGAAGACCAACAATTCCACTGTCTTTCGGGAGTACATCCGACAGTTTCTATTGCCCAAGCAGGTGAACCCGCAAGAGATTGTTTCATATCTATCCAGGGATGGAGTACTAACCGTACAAGCTCCGTTATCACTTCAGGCATTGTCTGATAAGCCTGCTGAAAGAATAGGAACGAAATAGAAACTTACCGATATGAAAGAAGGAATAGCAGCTATATGAAATAATCAACTAATGACTGAATCAATAAATTGTTTGTATCTTCAAAATTAAGAATTTATTGATACTATAACAACGACTTTTAGGTAAATTAAAATTAGAATAAAATATCATGTAATAGGTATAGTTTATTTCAACAAAATAAATAGCGTAAGCTAAAATAAATGTTTTCATTACCTCCCGTTTTCACGCAAGGTAAGTAAAGTAAGGAGTAAAATATAGTAATTTACTTTACTCTATTATCAATCATTTCCATAGTGTACGCAATATAAGGACTTTTTGGTATTTTTTTTTTTACATTGGGGTACATTATTGAGTTTTATACGGATACCTAACGTTTTTGAGAATATTCTATCGCATAATCGATTAGGTTATTGAACTTAGGTTAATCAGGGATAATGAAGAATTCTAATGATATTTTTGTTTAAGTAGGATGAGTGATCTACGTGCATAGACTACTTTGCACAAAGTCTCGAATCAAAGACATATATACACTACAATTATATCCACATGGCTTGTATAGAAGTTGCAAATTGATTTATAAATGAAGTCCATGGGAACAAAGTTGCGATTAGCCACTAGTACTAACATATAATATGTATGTATCATATACTATTATGTACTCGTAGTAAAAGTACATTATCTGTGTACGACATCGGTGACGTGGCCACAGCAGATAAACGCGACCCGACACACACACACACACACACACGTAATGATGAATAAGGTTTGAGGCGTACACAGTTTTGTTCTAAAATTAATGCAATTATTTTTTTAAGTTTATTAATTAGAAATAATGTTAACAAAAGCTGGAAAAATTAATGAAATTAGTAGTAACAATTTTTTTTTTCAGGATAACCAGCGGGCCAGCGATCTTGCGGTACACCTGAAGGTAAGTGTATACCCCCGTCTACGAGCACCACTACACAAAGGGAATTGAAGATGAGTTGTCAGCTTTTTAAAGAAAAAAGACGCTCTTTTTGTTGGTCTCAACATCGTATCGGTTCGGAAATATTGCTGGGAGACGTATCTACAAGATGGTTGTGCGTGATAATTTTTTTCTGTAAAACGCACGGTGAAGGACCGTCATTTGTCCAGGTGATAATCGAGATGATATTTTAATTCCTGGCGGGTTATGTAACGATAGAATTCAATAACTCGTGTCAAGCCAACCAATTCCCTAGAACACTCATTATAAATATGTAGAAAACACACGAATATGTCCAGAAAAGATCCAGTCTATCTCACAAAGACGTTCATCACCAACGATTAAAATCGCTCGGACCTCGGTTCTGAAATAGTTTAGTGATAGTTTACTCAGTAACTGCTACCGGCGAGTGTTTTCGCGTAACCGCGATTTCCCATATCTTCCATTCCAAATGCTGCGTAAAAACCTGATAACTAAACAATCAAACTTTCTTTTCCATTAATAATATACGATTATAGATACGATTATTTTACTGATAACTAGAACAAAGTAACTTAGATAATATAAAATAACATAATACCCATACAGTAATTACCTAAATGAATAATTCGTTTTTTAAATAGTTCATTATTCCAGCTAGACAGTCAAGCCAGCTTGTTTGTTAGATGTGATTCAATTGAAAAATTATGGTATAGGCGTCATCTTGTTTACCTTTTATCACACAAAATATTTATCCTCAATTATGTTTGTATAAAAATACCAACAGTTTATTTAAAATTAAACACGTAAACATTGCTATATCGAGCATTTAATCTCATATTGACACCTCGCCTTGACATACAAATAGTAAAAAACCTAATAAAAACGTTTATGGGTACAATGACACAGGCAAGTAGCTATTGAAAGCTCTAATTGAGTGTATTATCATTTGACGTTTCCTTTTACAACTTGTTCGGTTGTTCTCATTGTGTCTCAGACCTAAGTAGGTCACCTGTACATTCACACGTGTGTATGTGGTCGTGTCCGCGCAGTTGCCGTGTTGATGCGGCGCGTTGTCATGGCAACACACCGCGCTTGCTTCCCAGAAGAGTACTCGCCATTTCCAATGAGTACAAAATCACGGGACTTAAAATAATGTATTTAGATTTTTTTTATCTGGTGTAGAAGGAAAAAATTAAAGAAATTGAGTCTAGAAATTTCGAAGCTAAAGATGTCTTTAGCTTTTTAAGACTACTTTTTTTTTGTTTAGTTAATAAAACTTGATTAAATTGTTCACAGTTTTCTTATTGAAATTTTCAGCTGCGTAGGTATTTACAATTAGGCGGCCGCCTTCGACTAATCTTTCAGCTTTTATTATAAACTTGATGGACATTTTATTAACGGCCAATTTATTAACGTCATTTAATTTAAGTATGACCCGTAAAATGTTTTTAATATGGTCATATCTTATGATTCTATGCAAAAGAAAAAAATATTCCTCCGATTTCTTTTGTTTAAGACTATTTTAAATATTGCTATTTTACTATTTTTACTTCTTCCTCCATATTTAAGTCGAATATAATAAAATATGGCTGCTTAAAAATAACTAAGTACCTACTTCAAAAATGAATAATTACAGTAAACTAAAGCCGACGACTTGTTTTGTTGTCGGAAGATGACGTATGGGGGTGAATTAATTAACATTTTATTTTTGTGAATGTTTTGCCTAATTAATAAAACAATTTCTAGGTGTTCAAAAAGGCTAAAAGACGGATTTAGAAATTATCACTTAGATCTGAATGATACTTTTTGTTCGAAAGTTTGTTGGTACTGTTTTCGTTAATAAATAAAAAAGTTAAATCGTCGTAGCTATACTATTATGAAATACCTAATTATATATAAAACAGTCTATGAATATTGCTTGATCACATAATTAATAGACATAGTAAACACGCAGACCGATAGAAATAATCATACTCATAAATACGAATGTACCGTGCGAGGAATCGAACCCGCGATCTTTGGAAGTAAGGTGGTGTGCTAAACCACTAGACTATCAAAGCTGTCAAGAAAGTGTTAACTGTCGTCCGTAGACATGAACAGCTCCACGGTCATATCGTTATCACGTCTCACACGCAGTATTCATCATGCGTTACCATTAATGATGACAAAGTTCTCATGCCTTGTTATCTTGTATTTTCACTGACATATCTCAACCTACAAAGTAATCACAGATGGCCAGGCAGGTTTCTTAACAATAGGGTTTTTTTTATACCAAGATGGTGGTAAACAAGCATACGGCTCATCTGTAGCTTATAGATGCCTGAAATACCATTGATGTGTCACATGTACTTTGTACCATGTTTTTCTTTGATGGACGCAAACAAACTTATCTGATGATAAACGGTTACTGAAGCCTATGGACTCCAGAGTGTCAGTGTACCTCGATCGCCTTGTTAGCTATTCTAGCCGCATAAAAAATCCAATTTAATTGGATTACGATGTGATAATATGGACCCCAAACTCTAAATCATTGACTTTTCCACGTCACCCACCTGTGTACCCCGCCGTTACAAATCAGTGGGGCGGTGAGCAACCCCCAGGCTGCGTCAGTCACGGTTCAACAATATGACCCTATAACGTATGGTAAATCTAAAAGTCACCCCAAGCGGTTTATTTGTTATTCTCGCTTAATCATCAGCGTAGGTGTTTTGACAACAACCGAGTATATTTTGTAATTGGATACCTTACGTAATTATTCAATATTATCAATTACTGTGATTATTCTAATCCTTACTAATATTATAAATGCGAAAGTAATTGTCTGTCTGTCTGGCTTTCACGCTAAAACTACTGAACCGATTTAAATTAAATTTGGTACACAGATAGTTCAGACCCTGAGAATGGACATAGGCTACTTTATAATGCGAAAAAAAAAGGTTGAAAGAGGGGATTAGATTGTATGGAAATATCGTCATTTTTAAAGCTAGAAACTTAAAACTTTATTTTAAGTTGTTGATTAAATTTAAATAAACAGAAAAAGGTTATAAGTGTTTGAATTGTATGGAATTTCGTCATTTTTGAAGCTAGAACGATAAAACTTTTTCTTTGTCGGTTTTTTGTTAGATTATTGGATATTTTTTTTAATTTGGGCCAGCTAGGTAATTATATGGTGTCATGATTTTTATTTGATAGCACAAAATTGCATACAAAATTTTATTATGAGTGATATATATGTAAACTCTGTTCTGTAAACATCAATATGCAATATAAAGTTAAATACAATTTGCAAATAATAAAATTGTATTAGTATAATTAGAGGCAACAAATATCCATCCTTGTGAGATAGTCAGTATCAAACCGAACTTCCTGAGGGGTGACTACGAGTATCAACCTCATTTCCTGTACACCCTTCCATGGGGAGAGGGCACTGCAACGTTGTTATGCTGCTACAATTTTTTTATTGGGCTTCGAATTTCAATATTTAAGAGAGTTTTTGTAGTCGATGGTCACTATTTTGGCGCGAAACTATCGAGACGACCAAAGTCACAGTTTTAAAAATTTGTATGTTATTTTTTAATTACTGGTAATTACTAAATTTAAATATTTAAATCAATTGATGATCATGGATGGCTCTTCATTGCTTTTCTTTTCTATTCTGTATAGGTAAATGCTAGTTCAAAACATTTAGGTTTAACGTTGGCTGCTTTTTTCTTAACTCCGTTTTTTTTTATTATATATATACTTATACGAAAAGGAAGTTATTAGGTCAGTGTTTGGGTTCAAAATTCAAAAGTGAAAAATCATTTATTCATGTAGGACTTTTAGCCGCTTATGAACGTCAAGTTTTACATTACACTTTTTTTTTTACTACCGTCCAGTTATATAGATCCAATTGAGAAGAACTGGCAAGAACTGGCTCAATTGAATTTCTTTTTTTTTTTTAATCCAATTCCGGTTTATTGTTGGCTATTCATTGGTTTTTTTAATTGTATATAAGTACTCGTAATTGTTAATCAAAAAGCTTTAAATTTATGATAAATGAATAGTCATATTCATTAGTATTTATTTCCTGATTTAT